CAAAGATGACCCAAAAATCCACATTCTTAAAAGTCATTTTGGCCACTGCAGGAGTACAGAGTACTCCAGTTCTAGGGGGCGCCAAAGATGACCCAAAAATCCACATTCTTAAAAGTCTTTTTGGCCACTGCAGGAGTACAGAGTACTGCCGGACACACACACATATACACACACGCCAACACACACACACACACACACACACACACACACACACACACACACACACACACGCACACACACACACACACACTCAGAGTCTGTTTTTTAGCACCTGCAAAAACATGCTGTTTACATATTTGACAAGAATGCAGAGGCTTCCTTTTGCCCCTGAAAAAAATCAAATTTCAAACACAACTTGACTGTTCATTTCTCCAAAAGACAACCATGAAGCTCCATCCAAACCTGAAGCAGATAGTTGGTGCATGTGTACAATAACCTGAGGAGAGTGAGGTGACTACTTCTGAGGAGAACATGAGCAGTGAAGATTCACCTTGGAGCTAGAACAGGGACGTGCACATGATTATACAGGGGCAGGGGCTCAAGTTTTTTCCAGTCATTTATACAATATGGAAATTAATGTGAAATTAAACCACAAATATGTGTGATGAACTGTTTTTAAAACTTAAACTTCAAATAAAAATTGTAAACTTCAAAACATATGCAAATTTTTAACAAAGAACATAGTAATTTACCTCTATTTACATCAAAATGCAGGCAATGGCCCAGGCGTTCTTTGTAAAATTATTTACAAAACACTGTATAGTCTCACAAATGTCACTTTTTATTTATGCCACTACAAAAAAACATGATGTAAATGATGCATGATGTAAAACATGATGTAAAAAACTTGTGTAGATCCTCCTCTATGTCAGTCCATGTGTAATTTTTCCATAATTCTTTGTTTTTTGCAGCATTTTTGTTAGTGTAACTGCAGATTGTGCTGACAGTGTCTATGGCAAAAAAAAAAAAAAAAACTGAAAATGCCTCAACATGAACTCCTGGTGGTCTCTGAGGGTGAAACCTGCTAACTGCTGCAGCTCTCTCAGCTCTAGTCTCCCATGCAGAGCTCGGAGCGCATGTGTGGCTCTGCACCCTTAGCAGCGTTGCTAACTCCTCAGTAAGGAAAGCCTGCTTCATGTCAGAGTCTCTAAACTCCAGAGGAAGTCGATAAAATTCCCTTTCTTTCTAAAAAAAAGTCGTTAGGGGGTCTGAAAAGTCATTGAATCTAACAACAAAGTCGCTAGGTTTGCAACTACGTTTCCCAGACTGCAAACCTGCTGAGAGTTCCTCCCTCCCTTCTCATATTGCAGGAAGAACGTAAGCGCCCGCCCCTTGTCAATCAGTCACCATATAATTTTGGATTGGTTGTTGTGGTGAAGTTTTCCACCAATAGGAGAGATGTTGTGGTGTGTTTTTTTTTTCTTTTGGCATGCCTTTTCCGCCTGTAAGAGCTGTCGCTAATGTCTGCATGCTATGTTTTCCTGTCTCATACAGCGTGATCGAGCGCCGAACGTGATCAAAATAAGCAGAAAAAAAGTATCGCGGACATAATTTATCATAACTCTGGTTTTATTTGGCCTATCAACACAATTTAAAAACTGGTATATAGTTTGAGGTCCTCACTTTTGAGATAAGTTGAAACGGAGGGTGAACGAGGCTCCGTCTTGCAGCTACATCCGGTTAAATATGTCATGTGACTTGAACGCTGGGGAGCGTCAATCGACTGCAGAGCCAGCAGACAAAGTAGTTATGGCCACTGAGAGGCACACATTTGTCATATGCTATAATCCTAACATATTTTAATGCTTTTTCTATTTAAACCTAATGGATCTAAGGTTTGACCTTCAAAATTTAGGAAGAATATTTTTTTGCAGTAATGACCCCCTTAAACAACCAGAGGTCCTTTCCTAAAGTTTATGGAAATTTTAGTGAAGGCCTTGGTTTCTTTCCTTGCAAAATGTATAGAAATAATAAAGCTAAATACCATAAAATGGTCTTGGCGTATTAGCAGTGATATAAAATAGTGGTTTGAATATGAATGAACAACAAAAAAAAACATCAACAGAGCCTTTTTGAGTTGGGATTCTTTCATTATCACACAAAAACAGACATAGACAGACATCTAAAGGGTAAGGGAATGATCAGCCCTCCTAACTCTCAGATGAATCTTCAAAATTCACAGCAGAAATATGCTTATTATTCTTCTCAGAGTACTGCAAGATATATACACACACACACAGACACACAGACACACACACACACACACACACACACACAGACACACTCAGAGTCTGTTTTTTAGCACCTGCAAAAACATGCTATTTACATATTTGACAAGAATGCAGAGGCTCCTTTTGCCCCTGAAAAAAATCAAATTTCAAACACAACTTGACTGCTCATTTCTCCAAAAGACAACCATGAAGCTCCATCCAAACCTGAAGCAGGCAGTTGGTGCATGTGTACAGTAACCTGAGGGGAGTGAGGTGACTGCTTCTGAGGAGAACATGAGCAGTGAAGATTCACCTTGGAGCTAGAACAGGGACGTGCACATGATTATACAGGGGCAGGGGCTCAAGTTTTTTCCAGTCATTTATACAATATGGAAATTAATGTGAAATTAAAAAACAAAGTATTAATAGAAAGGTAATGACTGTCCTGTGTAGATGACAGTGATATCCAATAGGCTAGGCACTCACGAGGCTGGCTGTGGCAAGTGTAAGTGAAAGCAACACGCACTGGCAGGAAGAACAGCAAACGCCGATGAAGGAAAAGGGTCTTTGCAGTGATGGGCGTTACCAGAGAGGGCGATGGCCAGAGGACACGAATGGGACGGGGAGGCAGCGCGTTGGGGGGGGGGGGGACGGCGCGACACGGCTCGGGCCCGCCAGTGCCCCAACGGGGCCCTAGTTCAATTTATTTCACAAATGGAAACTATTTCATTTCCATAATGCATGCACTTTTCCTCTCTCCCTCCTTGTCATACTTTTCTGATACTTTCTCTCAGTTTCACATTTCCTCCTGCACCCTCCTTTCCTCTGCTCTATTTTCTTCATGTTTGACTCTGTCACTCTCATTTTCTCCTCATTTTCTCCTCCAAAAATCAATTTTACACAATACTTTTTTTTCTGCCATAAAAGAAGAACAGGCTTTACAGAAACAAGCGGAGCCCTGTTGTCACAGTTTTTACCCAGGGCCCTCTGTGACCCACTTTCACCTGAGAACAAAACTCCAACAGGAGGACATCTCTCTCTGTCTGTTGTCCTCTTTGTGCTATTCTTCACTGTCTGCTATCATGTCTCAGTCTCCGTCTCTTTTCCTGTTTTTCAAACAGATCCAGTTTGTTGGTGTCTGTCTTTTTTGAATCTTGTTTTGGTTTTTTATGAGCTGTTATTCTACATGCATCTACCAAAGTGAACGACTAAGTGCTGTTATAGAAACTTTCTCATGATTAATAATGATGCATCAGATTTTTTTATAGCGCTTTTTATCAGAGACCTTAAAAGTGCTATACATTTGATACATCATTCATTTGCTCACACAGTCACACCCTGGTGGTGAACTACCTCAGTAGTGTTGTGCTACCTTAGTTATGTTTCATCAGTCTGTGGTGTAGATCTACAGTGTTCTGTTCTACGCTGCAGTCTGCTGGGGAGGGAGCATCAAACACAAAGATGCAAGACGTCTAAAGAAACTGGTGAAAATTGGATTCAAGCTGGACTCCGTGGAGGATGTGGTGGAGAGATCCACATTGAGGAAGGTGAAGACTATTCGGTAACACTTTATATTAAGGTCCTTGTAATAAGCATTAGTTAATAGGTAATAAGGCCCTTATAAGTGCGTACAAGATGCTTATTAACATTATTATTTGTTTATAAGACTATATATCTATTAATAGTCTCATTTAATAGTCTCATGCCTAAATGCACTAAGTTGCCGCCATGTGATTGGCTGATTAGAAATTAAGTGTTAACGAGCAGTTGGACAGGTGTACCTAATAAAGTGGCCGGTGAGTGTATATCTATTGATAGTCTCATTATAATACAGTTATTAGCAGACTTTAAGAGATTTATAATAACTTATAAGAAACTTGTTAACCGTTTGTTGATGCTTACGAACATTAATAAAATCCTCATGAGTATCTTATAACTGTTTATAATAACATTATAAACACATATATTGACTCAACTAACCCAACCTTGATGGCTTTATCATGCCTTTATTAATCTTTTTGTTTGATTTATTAACATTAATATACACTTTATTGCTCATCTACTGTAAGTTAACTATGCACTTGTTTACAGTTAACTGTGCTTTTTGCAGGTGCTGGATCTAAAGTGAGAACAATGTCTTATTAAGGCTGATAAATCTTTTATTGAGCATTATTATGCCTTTAAGAATATTTTTTTCCTGCTTTATCAAAATAAAATGTACTTTACTATGCCCTTGTTATCAGTTAACTAGGCACTTATAAACAGTTAACTATGCTTTTTGCAGCTCCCAGATCTAAAGCGAGAACAATGCCTTATTAAGTCTCATCAATCTTCTATTATACATTTATTTATGGCTAATGATTTTCACAACTTCCACATCTGGGACGAACAATACATGTGGTAAAGGTTGACATGATGGAAAGAAAAAATTTGCTTAACACAACAGATGTTTTAACAGTAAAGCCCAAAAAGGTTTTATTTATTGTTTTGGCTTTCAAAGACACAATGGCCTAATACCAGTAATAATGATAACAATAATAATAAATCACCTACAACTGGCTTTAGAAAAAAAAGACACTTTCTTCTTTTAAATATTGGGGCTAACATAAATCCGTTAACATGTAAAAGTACCATTTTGCAAAATGCAACATTCGTTTTACTCCTAAAAATTTACAAAAATAGAAATCACCTAAAACAGGTGTTTGAACATTTTACAAGTGCAACATAAATCTGAGGCAGATTTTTTTTAATTCCACTGAACATGTATCATTTTACTTTTCATCATGCATTTCAAAAGTTCCCCTTTCCAACAGGCAACAGTTTCCCTGATTTCTTAAGTGCCTGAACTTTACTGTCAATATCTGGATTGTCACGGATGGCATCTAGACATTTCCCGGCAAAATCACCAAGCTTGTGCTTTCTTCTATGCTGTTCTTTGAGCTCTGCAAAATTTTCAGGTGCAGCAATGGAAAGCTCTGCAATTGGTGCATTCAGGGTAATTGTGTTGCGATCTACTCCCACTATTTTGCAAGAAGCAATGAGGCTCTTCTTCTTCTTGTAGGCCTTCAACACTTTCCGGTAACGTGCAATTACCTCATCTGGCCCACATGCTGATGGTGAAGAAGAAAGAGGGTAGATATTAGTCTCTGTGAAATAAAGGACCTTCCATTCAATAACCTTAAACCATTTATGAAGTTTACTTTGCAACACAAACTAACAGAATTCAGTGGGCATAGCCTAACAGTCACAACAGTGTCCCAGCTTTCTTGCATAGTTGGACTACATAAAGTGTTTCACCTTTTACCTGCAAGTTCACTCATCTTCATTGAAACTGGCAACAGTAAGTTACACATCAAAAAATAAATAGCCAGAAACTATCTTCTAAGTCTTAGTTTTTATTTACATGAATAAAATTACCCCTTGAAATGCTGGGAGATGGGCTCAACTACAGTTGTTTTGAAATAGATTGTGTTGTTAACTACTGCACTATTATAGGAGGATTGTGTCCCTGTTATTTGGATCACAAAGTCTACACATTTATTTACACATTTACAAGATGAGATATACTTTTACTGTCCCCTGCAGGATTTTTTCTTAGATTTAGTACTGTATAACAGGGTAAGTGGTCGCAACCAAATTCTCAATGGAGGAAAAATCCTGCATGTTAGACATGTAGTGAAGTAAAAAAAAGAGACAATGCTGACATGCGTTTGAGGGAAGTGCAGGGTGACAGGGGGGGTCGAATATATTCAGTTAAGAAAAATAAATAAAACACCATGATTTGTATAGCCCAATATATTAAGATAATATCAACATATTGGTGAACACTGACTTACTCTGAGACAGCTGGGGCCTCATGTATCAACACTTGCGTGGAACTCATACCAGAAACGAGCGCACGCAAGGTCCGTCACGCTGAAAAAAATCCGTATGTATCAATGTGTGCGGGCGCCGAAATCCACGTGTGTTTCCTTGATAAATCCCAATCAGCGTGGAATTGAGCGCAGATGTCGGAGTGACTGGGCCCGTCCCCGTTACGCCCTCCTATAAATATTCAGATTTATTTAAATAGGGTCTCCCTGTCCTCGCACACAGACAAAATGACAAGAAAAACTAAATTTACGGCGTGCGAGGTGGAGGTGCTGGTGGCGGAGGTGGAGGAGCGACAGCGTGTTTTGTTTAGCAGCCTGTCCAGTGGCGTCAGTGCAAAACAAAAACGCTTGGAGTGGGAGAAAGTTTGCGAGAGGGTGAATGCGGTGGGTTCCGAGACACGCACCCCCGCGGAGATTAAAAAAAAGTGGTCGGACCTCAAGGTGGAGGTCAAGCGGCGTACAGCTGCCCTCCGGAGGAGTACTGGCCAGACAGGTGGGGGTCCGGGGGAGGAGACCCTCACACCGTTTGAGCAGCGGGTGGTGGCGATTATTATTATAGGGTAAGTGGCGTGTCACACAAATGTCCACATGCTTTGTCATCCCACTGAGCAAAAGACGTATATTAGACGTCTAGTCTAAGTTTATACTTCATTTCAACGTCGGGATTCAGTCTATTTTTGGACGTGATTTATACTTCGCCCTTAACTTCATTTTTCGATAACTTTTTATGCAATAAACAACTGTAATGTGCATAACTGACCTCTAAATACTGGATTACATTACCTATGATACCGTGGAGAGAGATGTAAACGCAACAGATACACAGAAGCAGGAATTGAAATGAACAAATATTTTTATTGTGTCACAGAAATCAATGTGTCGGCCGTGTCGCCGGCTTGCGGAACCCCGGCCCGCGGCAGCCCGTCCGCCGGCTCGGAGTCGTCGGCCAGGACGCAGCGCTTCCGCTGGACCACCCGGACGGTCCTCGCGGAGGGGGTCCTGCAGGAAGAAATCATCAGGGGGGGATCGCGGAGATCAACGAGCGGCTGGACCGGCTCGTAAATGTCCTTGAGCGTCTGGTGGAGAAAATAAATTAATTTGGCTCATTGAACTGTGTATTCACTTCTTACCCATTCACACTGTGGCGATGAGATTCTCCCGCGCGAGGACGGCGGCCCGGCAGGGATCAGCTCGCATCCCTCCGTCTGCTGCTGGTTCGTCATGTGGGGCGACGTGCTGCTCGGCCACGGGGATGTGGTGCACGCTTGTCACAAAGTGAGTCACCAAACACCGCCACACAGCGTCGCCAAAGTGCGAATCACAGTCAACGCAAGTATCGGCTCAACGCCAATTTCTACACCACCTCCTGACTTTGCGTTGATTAGCGCTGGAACCGACGCTCGTTTCGCGATGATAAATCTGGACGTGTGCGCCGATTGTGGCGTACGCAAGGTTTTCTTGCGCCGCAAGCGTTGATACATGAGGCCCCTGGTCTTTTAAAAATTCTCTCTCGTTGGTTAGCTGCTTGATTAAGTCTTCCTGACAAGCTATTTTCATTTTAGCCAGTTCCAGCTCATGTTTTTGCTTCTGGAACTTGGCAGTGGGGGCCATTTGGGCAGCACCTGAAAGAAATAACAATTCAAATTTAATACTAATCATGGATCATGCCTTCTAGGAGGGATGTATACAAAGGCAAACTAGGACACAGATAAAAACCACTTCATCACCCAAATTACATAAAGTTAGAAAGGAATGGAAGGCTTGTGCTATTAAAGTAATCATGACTCACTGAATTCTAATTTTCATGTGGTATTCTTTGTTACAAATATCAGACATGTGGTAATGATACAGGATACTTTATCACATTAAAACCTGATTTCATATTTGATTCAAATCAATGTGCTGTTGATTTAAAATGTATTTTACCATCTCCAAAAATGTGTAATAAAAAACAAAAAACATTCAAAAATAACACATAACCAGACAGGGCACATCTTAAGAGAGAAGCTATATTATTTCCATTATGTAACCTGCCTGTTTGTTGGCATAGCTGAAGAAAAAAACAAGTTGGCAAGTTACCAGTTGCATAAACTAGAGTATTTATTAAAACAGAGTTTTAATGTAACCAAATAGGAAAATAGGTTGTTTATATCAGGCATGAAAATGGGTCAGGGGTTGAAAAGGTGAGAAGGGGGGGGGGGGGGGGGGGTTGAAGAGTGATTGAAGATAATTATTAGTATAATAATCTCTTAAATACAACGGAGTATGAGGGCCACATTAAGACAAAAAAAACGTTTTTAAATCTTAGACAATGAAGTTATTATTTAGGAGAATAAAGTCAATAATATATAAGAATAAAGTCCTAAAGTTACCTGTTGTGGAGGAGAGTTGCTAAAATCAGCACGGAGGAGCATTTAGATGAATTGTACTTTAGTATAGGTTTCACAAACATGGAGATACTTAATCCTTTGGTACATGAGCGTTACACTGTCAGAACTTTAAAAAGAATATATGAGAAATGCTGCTTTTGTGGAGGGGAGAATGGCTGGAAATGGCTGTACAGAGGCTAAATTCATCAATACAGCTGTTAATAGCAATAGCATAGGGCTTTAGTTTATCATATGAGTTTATCTGCCATGAGGTGTTGAGGTCTCTGCATGTGTAGGTTACTGACTTACTGTAATCATCGGGTCTTTCTCGTCCTTATAAAAACCTGCTCTATTTCGGCGAGTGTCTGTCTTCTGTAGTCAAACCGCAAGATATCAAAATCTACCCGGATACAGCAATGCTGCTTTTTGATTGGCTGTTCAGTATATATACTTTATTTGATTGGCTTGCGCGTGGCACGCAGCTTCTGAACTCTCGGATCAACTCACTTAATTTCTACCTGTTCAATTGTTACAGAGGTGCAACTTTGTGGACATCACCATGTTCACATAAATGCGTGAGAAATACAATGTGTGGCGTGTGAACGGGTGGGAATGTGTGTGTCACACGCTGAATGCGTGAGACTTGAGAGCCCTGCAGAGCAATAAACGCGAGACGCCCGCTTTCGCTATTTTAGATGGCTCAAAACTTGGATTAATCTGTCAGGCTGCAACAGTAAAGCTCAATAAAATTACGAGCTTTGGCTAGCTAGCTATGTAGCTAGCCGCGTGTTTGAATGTGCACTAACTAGTTAGCTGCAGTTAAACTTACCAGAGGAGTCATCCTCCATATCACAACGGCTCCTCTTGTCAGCATGATCTTTTCAAATCCAGAGCGGGGCCGAAGATGTTGTTCCCTCCATTTTGCACGCGGCACCAAAACGACATTCACGTTGATCGTGTGGCTCAGCCGCTAGATTAAACCGGAAGTATCGGTGTTACACTGCGCTTTCAAAATAAAAGCGTGTGAGAAGCGCACAAAGGCGAGAAAAGCTACGGATGTAGGCTGAAAAGAAGCGGAAAAAGATGCGACCTGCGAAAAGCAACAGAAGAGGAGAAAAAAAGAAGTGACTTTACCAAGACGACACTGCGAAACAAAATCAGAAAACTTATCTTTGAAGGCACTTCAACCAGAAAAACTTTAAAGCTGATTAAATTCCTTCAGGAAAAAAAACTCTTAATGAAAAAAAATCAAATGCCGCATCTGCCACGAGAGCATGAAGATGACAAAGAAGAGGGGCAGAGACCATTACAGCTGGTAATAACTTTTTCATGGGCTTATGTCAGTTAAAGCTATTTGAGCTATTGACTAAGTAGGTTTGTGCTTATTGATGCATTATTTAGCAGCCATTAGAAGAGATGCAAAATGTATTTGATAGATGTGTTTTGTGATAGATCCTAAACCGACCTATTTGACAGAAATGCATCTGTAGGTCTGTAGGTCACACAATTGAAAATAAAATGCTGGTAAAATAATGCAAGTGACTAGTAGATTTCTTTCACTTACCAGCCACATCTATTTATTCATCTGTTGAATGCTTGTTTAATATGAACATTCACTTGCCAAATGTATGTGTAGGTATGTAAAGTTAACAATGATTGATGCACCTATGATGTTTTCTAAATATCAATAACATCTTTAATATTTTCACCAATCAAACATTATCCTAACTCTTTGCTTTTATTAAGGACATGCCAGCGAGTAGTGCACCGAGGGACCAAGACAGTGAAATTAATCAGGGGAAAATCTCTTTTCAGCAAGTCCAGACTTTCACTATTTCAGTGGATGCAGTTCATTTATAGGTAATACATTTTAAAGTGTTAGATAATTACTTTGGAAAAGCTTTTGAAGAAAATGTAAAACTGTTGATGTGTTTTTTTTCTATAGATTTGCACAGGGCCTACGCCTCAGACAGGTTGATATGATGGAAGACAGTATTGCTGCAAGCACTTCAACCCTCTCAAAGATGGCGAAAAAAACGAGGAAGGTCTGCAGAAGGGCTGTTGAGCGAATGAGAGGAC